TTCTTTCGATTTTCTTTACTGAAGCTAACGCGCGCGAAACGAAAAAGGACTTTAGTGCTGCTTCAGTCATACATTAGTTTCGAATAAAATGGATTTGAAGCGTGTTTTTTGTATTATAACCTTGTTTAGGTTTTGGTTCACAAATCATCGCAAGTACGATTTGAGACAAATCAAATCAATTCTTTCCTTTTGCTTTTATGATCCAATTCAGTTCAAGCTTGAATAGGAAGTGTCTTAAAGGCTGAAAATGACTTTTTTGGCAAACGAAATTACCAACAAGGAAATTTAAAACCAAAAATCATGGCGTTTCGTGTAGACAGCACAAGCATAGCTTCACGGAACATCCATATCATTCTAACTGAAGAATTATCATGTTGACAGATCTTACTCGTGAGGTATTAAATTGAGTGGAATTTTGGTGTGAATGCATTAAGATCCACAGAAGAAGCTAATTAGCCTGCGAGAAAGCTTTCGTCAAAAGGCGATACGGCATGAAAACAGCGAAGCCGCGAGCGCTACGAGCTAACGGGAAGCCTGGCAAGAAATTGAGACATATTTTTCCGCCATGAGTTATCTCAAAAGCTAGAAGCTAATCAGACACAAGATGTCCGTAATAAAGCTCAAGAAGCTTTGAGGAAGGGAGTTCAAAAGCATTTGAGTTTACGGGTATGACTTCTATTACATGTAACAAAGGGACGGGTCATTAGTTATCGCTGAGGAGGGGAGGTGTGTGTGGCGGACTTTGGGGGAGGATCGCATGGGGACGGATAGGGTATCAGTAGTCGTTAACACGGTATAATTTAGAAAGAGGTGACTATAGGAAATTGGCATCGAGAAAGGATCATAAGAACCTTACTGAACCTTATGGAGGGATCAGGTAAATCCTATCAGTGCAAAACAAAAATCCTCTGACCCCCCTGGTAATACTAATCACCGATTCCGACCGAAAATTAATCATAATAGGAGTCTAAGACAACAACAAAAAAACTCACACAAATTTAACACAAAACAAAAGAAAATCAAACAGAAAAAGTGAAGAAGTTTCGTAGGGAACCATAGTAGTAACCAACAAATTTGATTTTTCACTATTCTCCCTTAGCTTCGCAACACGGCGGACATACTGATGTCTATGTTTCACTGGACGGTTGCGATTCTGAAAGCTGCGGTACAGTCCGTAATCCATACAGATCCATTGCTATGGCAGTTTACCAGATGGACTGGAATGGACATATCTACCTAAATGGAATTGGAACTGAAGAACGGCCTTATGACTGCGAGTCTTCGGCAATACATGACCAGCAGAAAGGAATTGTTGTTGAGAAAAGTTTGCACATAGTAGGTTTACATTCCACGCCATACGTATCATGTACTGAAGGTTTTCGCTTTCTTACGAAGCATGTGACTAATCCTCTAAGTATTGTCCTATCGGACATTGTTTTCGTTGGAACACCTCTAACATTTTGGGATTGTCACGCCTTAACGATCTCCAATTGTTCTTTCCGAGACTCGTTCATAGCTCTGAGCGTTTACGTAATACATAACACAAGAATGCATATCAACATTGCTGGGTCTGTTTTCTTCAAGAACAACACTTTCTGCTTGAAAATATCTTGGCAAAACAGAGAAACTTTAAGTGATCAGTATCTAGTGATGGAGGTGAAAGAAGCAATTTTCTCGGAAAACGGCAAACATTACTCTATCGGTGGTTTAATCACAGCCAAATCTGAAGCCGCGCATCCACTAAGTTTGCTCGTCAGAGTATCTTGTTTCCATATTAAAGCATTCAAAAATTACGGTCATTTCATATATCTTGATCTCCCAACAGCCAAGACTGAAGAGATCTATGATAATGTCATGCTGTCCAACAATTTCTTTGCTGAATTGTCTCTTGACCACAACAGTCTGTACAACTCTGTTGCAAAGAAAACTCGCGCAAAGTTCAGTAACCTCAGATGTTCCTCAAACCACTTACTGCGATGTATTACAATTCAGTCTGAAGAAGCGAAAGTTGAAGTGTTAAATTCTTCATTTGAAGAGATGCAACTTACAAACCATAATGGGGGAGCAATGTTGTTCAATTCAACAGGAAACGGGTCTGTATTCCTTTTCAACTGTAGTTTTCGAGGAATTAAAGCTAGAGGCGGTGGGGCTTTGTTTGCTTATAGTCAGCGTGGAACCTTGAATCTGAACATTACTAAGGTTAACTTCACTAAATGCGCCGCTGCAAGTTATGGATGTGCAATACTCGTTGCAGACCAAATCAAAGGAACGAACAAAACCAAACTCGGCTCTATCATGTTACAAGCAATTTTCCACGAGGTCAGGGTACATCATTGCTATGGGTTACATAACGGATGCGACAGTGTTAGGCTCGAGTTATCCGATGGCAAGGTTGTTGTAAAAGATTCCTCTTGGAGAAACAACAGCCAATTTGTGACACGTTCAATAAAGATACTTAACACTGGTGGAAACACTGATATCCATATCTCCGGATGTACATTTGTCCAAAACAAAGCCAGTGAAAGTGATGTTACAGTACATGCAAGTAGGAGCCGATTCGCAGGAAATTTTCTGATTGCTCACACCGTCATGGTCAGTGCCACAAATCTGTCATGGCAAGCCTTGTGGATAAACTCACACTTTCGTATCGAGCTGTTCAACGTTGCTATCAAACTCTATAAAAGAGCACTCAACATCAATGCGTCAAATGAGGTCTCGTTTTCAAAAGTATCATGGGGTCGTTATCCATTTTCTATGTCAATCAAGAACTGTACCTTTCACAATAATGTCCGTGATATTTTGGCCACTTCACCTGATCCAACTAAGGTGGAACTAATTATCACGAACACGATTTTCGTCACCAGGGAGGTGTTTCCTCGTTCATATGGCCTTCGATTCTTTATAAACCCTTTAAAAGAAATCCCTTCTGCAAACACGACCATCGAGATGGACAACGTAACATTTGCTTTGAAGCCATGTAACTTCTTAGCTTTTCTGTTTCCAGGTAACAAGACCATTCGTATCAGAAGGTCTCAATTCCGCAATTGCCGCTGTTTAAATCCATGGTGTTGGAAAAATTTCAGTAGTGCCTACCGTGTTTATGATTTATCAGCTGGCGCTATTTCAGTCGCCTCAATTTCGGATAAAAGGCTGAGTCCAGGATGTGTCGACGTGAACGACTTCAACGATACTCATCGTCTCTGGGAATACCAGACTCGTGTAGAGTTCGAAGATACGTCATTTGACGGTAATGGTGGGGTAATTGCGGGTGGTGTTTACCTCTGTAATGGTCACACAACGTTCAAAAGATGTCGCTTTAAGAATAATTTTGCTTCTGAACATTCTGGACATGTTTACTTATCCGATGGAACTGGAAAAGCAGATTTTCTAGACTGTGTATTCAGCTCGACAGTAAAAAACGTGAAATTTAACGGTACGACGTTTCGAAAGTCAGCCTTCGTGCATTCAGTTAGTGGAGGACCAGTTCGTCTCAAAAATACAACGTTGAACTCTTTTATAATAGAAAAAGATGTGTATCCCGTGTTTGGCATCTCTAGTCTGGGTTCCGTTCACATGGATAATAACTCGATCATTCAGTGCCCCCCTGGTTGCAGCCTTTTGATGGACAATTCTTCGCATTTTGCTCACTCTGAATACAATGGTAGCTTTTGTCGAATAAATGTTACAGTTCTGAAGTACTCTTGCCTGCGCTGCCCTACAGGTTTTTACAGCATTTCACGTGCAACCTCTCGAGGACTGATATTGAACAGAACAGTAAAATGTCAGCGATGCCCGTTCGGTGCCAATTGTGTCGAAAGAAATATAGTAGCCAAACCAAACTTTTGGGGCCTTCTAAATGGTTCATCTGACCCACCATCACTGACGTTCACTGCCTGTCCAGAGCATTATTGTCGAAGTCCAGGCCCAGGCGCAAACGGTTATAACAGTTGCTCAGGGAACAGAAGAGGAATTTTGTGTGGTGAATGCATTCCAGGATACAGTGTAACTGTGTTCTCACCAGAGTGTCGAAAGGATGAAGAATGTGACAACTATTGGTTCTGGGTATTGACATTCTTATTAACAATTATGTTATCGTTATACCTATTAAGAAAACCCCCTACTCTAAGCTTTCTCGTCAATCAGATTATTTGGTTTAGAAAGAAAGAAAGCCAACGGGACGACAGCGCGTCACATCAACACGATCCCCACACAGATAACGCCTACATAAAAATAACTTTTTATTTCTATCAAGCTGCTGAACTTTTGATTGTTGGAGGCAAAGAGCGCCTTCTGAAAAAGGTGCCATACATGTATGCAGTTACCGCCGCGTTCAACTTTAAACTACGCACCCTCAATGAAGGTTTGGGCTGCCCTTTTGCTGGGCTAACATCTGTGACAAAGCAACTGGTTCTTTCTGGTACCGTTTTCTTGACAATGGCTGACATCGCTCTCCTTTATTTCGTCCATTGTGTTATCAACATGATAACGCGCAACCAGAAGCCATCCCTCTTCCATTACATGGCCGTCATCATAGAAGTGTTGCTGTTAGGTTACGAAAGACTGGCTGAAACTTGCCTCAAACTGATGACCTGTGTCTCAATCGGATCTGAAATGCGGCTTTTTATCGATGCAAATGTTACATGCATGCAGTGGTGGCAGTATCTCGTTCTCGCCTGCATTGCGGTGTTTATTGTCCCCTTCATTATTGTTCTTTACTTCGGATCATCCAAGCTTTACAAGGCTTCAATAACGGCGACTGAATTTCTTGCTGCGTGCGTGCTTCCATTGCCATTTCTTGTCTATTGGCTTCGTAAGGAAGCCCAGAAACAACCTAGGAATGAGTCTCTTGAAGCAAAAGTTGTTAACAAAGATGTCATGGAAGTACTTCATGGTCCTTTCCGTCCACCTAAGAGCGACGATAAAGGGACACTCTACTGGGAGAGCGTGCTGATTGGCCGAAGATTCATTTACTAGCTTGTCACTCGCTTATAACAAGCCCAATGCTGCGAATGATCGCCATGGCTACAGCTTGCACTCTGATAGCGCTCCACCATGTATCAAAGAATCCATTTCGAGATCCAATGGCCAACGGAGCCGAGACGTTGTCCCTTACTGCTTTGATAGTAATTTCCATTATCAATCTTACCAAGGCAACCCTGATATCATTTGGCATCACAATCACCGGGCCTTACAAATATTATCTGGAAACCATGGAGTGGTTTGAGGTTGGCGCGCTGGCGGCTGTGCCGGTTACCCTGTCTGTTTTGGTCATTGGTGCCATTCTCTCCCAACTCGTCCGGGCTTTGTTTTTCCTTTTGGAGCAAGCTGCTAGATGTTGTTATTGGCATGGCAGTGCTCATTGGTCCAAAAAGGAAGAAAGAAAGCCCCTCTTGGATTACACTCGTTGAGAACTTAAAAGGAACTTCTGAACACAGTTAAGGTTGTAAGTTTGAATAAATATTATTTCCATAATTAATAGCGAACCTTTTTTAATTTCATATTAAATATTTAATGAAAAAACATTAACTAATCCAAGAAAATCACAGCTTTATTTCACTAAGAAGATGAAATGCTCACACTACTAAAGTGAACTTTCTACAAACTGATATTTTACTTGATCTTTTGGAATCAGTGTGGATCGTTACAAAATCATCCACTTAGTTTTGTTATTGTTTTCAGTATTTGTTATTAATTTTTTCAGTATGGGCAATTTTGTAGTTCTAGCTCGGATCACAAAAGTATAATTAAGTCGTCCGCATTAGCAAAAGAGTTTGGTGCTATTTAGTAATAAAAAATGGATGAAATAACACGTTAATAAAGAAGAAAGCTTAGCCATCGCTGGCATAGTTCTGTTTAGGTTGCTGTTGCAGTAGTCGTCAGCTTTGTTAAATTCTTTAAATGCGAAGGGTAGAAGCACCTTCCAAGATCGATACACCTCCACCCTATGCACTTCCCCCACCCCACCTTATTATCCTAATTTTAGGAGATAGAGCCCTCTCCGATTCGGACAAAAGTGGAAAACTTGTCTTGCGCAATTAGCTCTCCTTCCCTATCCAGTCGACGCAAAAAGGGCTAGATATCACGCCCTCATACATCATTTGAGTTTTTACTATTGGTAAGTTTAATCCTCGAGTTTATCTCACTACGCAGGTTTTAATGCAAGATTTTTAATGAAAAAAAAAAACCAAAAAAAAAAAAACACTTCAAGCACAATGTAATTTTTTTAATATGTTTGTTATCTTTATCCACTGATCAAATTTTGAATAGAGGGAGAGTGAAAGGCACCCACTGAAAACAGGAGGCGAGACACTTTCAATTGGAATTTATCGTTTCATATTTACTTTTCAACATGGACCTTACGCCTTGTGCCGTGAACGAATAACAGTGGACGGGTATAGCGCACTCCATAGAAGTAAGTGGTCGCTTGAAATGGTCCAAAGTAATAAATCAAGAATCCCACGCGTGTTTATATTTCAATATTAAATTACATAAGTTAGAAACAGCGGTAAATTACATATGGTAAGGTTGCTGAACGCTTCTCAAGATAATAATCAGTCACTTCCTATCTAATATCTGTCGTTTATATCACACATTCCTCAGAGATTCGTTTCTTCTAAAATACATGGTTATCACCGGCAATTCGGCTGCAGTTCGTGGTTTTGTCCGGTTAGTGTGCGAGTACATAGATTACACAGCTAACTTCGATATAGCATATTGATTGTTATAAAAAAAAAAATATTTAGCACGGTGAAAAGAAAAAGTTCCTGACAAGTCTAGAAAATTGATTTAGGCAAGCTCTTTACCTATTTTCCATTAACGAAGTTTTGCTGAACGGCAAAAGAAGATATTTAATAGCAAAAGGATGTCTGCAATGGGTTGCAGCGAAAATGGTGAAGAACAAATAATTTGGAAGGAAAGAAAAAAAAGAGAGAGAAAAGGGAATGAACTACAAGGGGAGGCCGCCAATGTTCTTATTATGAGGTACTTACTTTTTCTCTTAAAAAGATACGCAAAGTATACATTTCTTTTCACACGGAAATTGCATATCATCTTAGTCTTAACCACAATGCATACAACCGTAACTATAGAGATAGATAACCGAGTTTTCATGATCATGGTACTGTACTCAAGACAGAAGCGCATGCATGTGGTCCTCGTTTTTCCGGCACTTTTTTATTCGTCTGTCTTGTTCCTTCAACAAGTGTTCGATCTCTAAGAACGCAAAAGGAAGATTAATCTATCAAAGTAGTAAAATTTGACACATCATTAAAGTATTTTCTCAGGCACGCCATTGGTTCAAAACTACAATGAGACCAAACAGGCCCCTTGCTGAAGCAGAGGAATATGCGCTGACATTCCCCGATTTTAAAGAAATTGCGTTTGATATGAAGTCTTTCTGTAAAAGTTGCTCAAAGCCAAGGACACTTTTCGCTACTGTTAAAGGAGAAGCATGTTGGTTTGTTCCTATTAGTCACTTTAAAAAGTCAACATACTCTTGCGACAGTGCGGTGTTTGTAAACGTTCTGTAAAGGGCAATGGTTTGCGGAGCTCAAGGCCTCATAATTTCCAGCAAACGAGGAAGCAATCGTGCCGCAGCGCTAATAATGACGACCTACTCTCTCCATGGACAAACATCCAAGCACATTCACACGTCACATGAAGGTGCTCAACGTTAATAAACTTCACAGAGAAAAAGTAAAGACCAACAATCAAACAAACGGTAATGGGCGCGACGTCGGAAAATTGGTGGAAAAGTTTCTGTCCTGCATCCCGACGGCTGAAATGAGCCGATTACGAATTACAAAGTTAAAGCTACCATACTGATAACTAACAGAGATTTTTCTCTGTTTGTTGTTTCCATCACTTTCACGTTTTACGAACAATGGGTCATAATGAATGATACGGTTCACTCTTGTTATGTTTCCTCCAGGAAAGTTAAGAAGAATTAACGTTCGGAAAATTTTAACCCAACATATTTTCGAATGATGAGTGTTTTATGAAGTCATTTATATTACAACCGACCTCTGTTTTTCTTGGTAAGTTGCTCCCCAGTTTGTGCAAGCGATCTCAAGATCATCTCGGCACGACTGTACACAGGTTCACCATCTGATGACTTTTTCCTCGCAGGTTCTTCAGCTGCAAAGTTCGTTGAAAATAATGTAGAGAACAAAGAAAACAAAGAAAGAAAGAAAGAAATGGAAGCAAAATCAAACAAACAAAAATGGAGAAAATAGTGCGAAAAGAGGACTGTTGAGGTTTGGTGCTGTCAGATTTTCGCAAACCAGGACGAGGTGGAGTAGCAATTTAGTAAGCGACAAAAATAGGTCATTCAAACTAGAACTTACTCTCGAATTACAAGCATGCTAATGTGTGCCATGTGGTAGGTAAACCATGTAATTTTACATCGATTTGTTCCAGCCATTGTCTGCTCTTTCATGAAAAGCAAGGTAGCATCACTTCGACGCGCAAACATAGACAAGTAAAGATTCAGTATAAACGGGTCTAAGTAGGCTTTTATAGATCGCCACATATTAAGACTAAATATACCAACAAGCATATCACCTGCTGTTAAGATTCTGTCACTCTCTTTCCTTGAAATGAAATCTCCTCGTTTTTGGGGCTCATACTTACGTCGGGCAGACTCTGAATCAAGATTTCGTCTTCCTTCGTTTTCGCTTAAAGGCAAATAGCGCGACTTGCCGTTTGGTAACGGCGCCAAACCAGACATTTCATTTGAAGTTGACTGATTACTTGTAACTGACAATGCGCTCGACTTTGGCTTCCAAGAACGAGCCGCGTTCAGGATGTCACGTGAGATAACAGTGTCCACAGTGGAAGTTGATCGGTCCATTAAAAGAGAGGTGACATCTGAGTGGTCACTGTGAATCGACGACGACGACAATGAAAGGGGCCTGTCAAATGCTTGTGAACGTTCGCTGACTGCATCACTGGATGCAATATCAACCCTCTTTGGAGACGAACTGTGTAGCGGAATTGCAAAGTCGTTGACATCGTCGCTGACCTCGTCGAAATCGCATCTGCCGCTGACTTTCGAATTCAGATCTGTTGATGCAGATGAACCTTCTTCTCTGTTGATTTCCTGCCTGTGCCTTCGGGAAATAAAGGGCTTAGAACGAAGATGCCCCTTCTGGGTTGCGCCACGATCTTTCCTGTCACCGTTTCTTGTTTGGCCTTGCTTTTCATCCTCACTTGAAGGACCAGAATTTTTCTTGTCAGAGGTTGTCTCGCCGACAGCACGCTGCTGCTCACTTTTTCCCACATATGGTTCGTCAGGACGCACGGGGCAGTCGTACAACAGCGCTCGCTCAGCAAGAGAACCCTGTGACGCAGACGGAGCATTCGGAGTCTTGGCTGGAGTCGCAGTTTGGGTGACGTGCGCTTGGAAACTTGAGATCAAGCTCCGCACTTCATGTAGTAACGTTTTCAGGTCATCTGTAACTTCATCGTTTTTCTTCGACGAGGCTTCACTTGTCTACGGATGCAAATATGAATTCGAATGGCTCAAGAAACTATCATATTTTAATCTTACGTCACAAGTCTCACAACAAACAAAGTACAAAGTAAAGAACTTTCGCTTAACCTCTCGAGAGGGCCCACTTTGCATCAGCTGTCCATTCTCCGATTCTGCCACTTCAGACTGAGAGCCCTGGGAAAGCGGTAGAGGTGTTGGGAAATGCTGAGGAATACCAGTCTTCTGAGTTAAGAGAACATTGGTGTAATTTGCTGGAGTGGTTAGCGGGGGCCACCTTCAGTAGGCAAATAGAAATTAACAAAATAAATTGAGGAGTAGAATTTTCTCTCCACCAAGGAGCAGCGCTTCAAGATTAATTTTTCAAAAAGTGGCCTTTTGGCGACCTTCAACCGTAAAATGGTTGCCAAAATAAACATTTTGGTCATTTTTGCTTTAACCTGTTTGTCGCCAAATGGCGACTATATTTTTCACTTGCATAGCGACCAAGATGGTCGCAGCTTGGAGGGCTGAGGATTATAGACAGGTGCTAGCGAATTGTCAGAGAAGCCTTATGACACGCTGAGGGGTAACCTTACGATGGACAGGTATCCACGGAGGAGCAGTAATGGGCCTGGTCGCCTCATGTAATAGAAACCGGGATAAGCTCTGGCTGGCTGGGTGGGTGGTGTTGGTGGGCAAAGGGAAAAAAAATCGCGAGGATAGGTCACAAAACTTGTTTTTGGTTAAGTAGATTTAAATACGTCCAGGTTTTTGTTTTCATTATTACAATTCTAAGTTTTCAAGGATTGTTAACCGAAGGAAATTAAACGAAGGATATAAAAGTGATAAACAAATAAACTTAACCTTGTTGATGTTGATCAGTATCGACCAATCGACAGTCCTACTAACTTACCTGCCGACCGATTATGATTGTTTCATTACCAACTCCTTTTCCAAATATATTTGCACCCATTGGAAAAACTCAGTTTTATGTGTAAAGAACTTTAGCTTTCATTTTCGGTAAGGAGACTTTTCCTTACGCTAAAACTACTAACGACTAGCAGCAATAATCAATAGCAATAAATGAACTTTGACTTAAAGCTTATTTTTCGATCGATCATTGATGACGAACATACATCTGTGGATGGTAGTCTCTGTTCATGTTGCTATCAATTATTGACTTCAACCCTGTAACCAGGTGGACTGACTGGTTTTTAATTTCTCCTTACTTCCCCTGAATCACGCCTTAAGGTCACGAGAATAACTGGTCAACAACTAAAAAAGCGCCTTATTGTTAAGCAAAAGCTCCTTGTCAGTACCTGACGAAATTTGTACAGAAGAGTAAGAAGAATGTGCATACTGATGTTAGGGTATAAAGGGTTAAAGAATGGTGAATTCGAAAAGTTGCACCGTAGGAAGTGTAAGAAGAATTGTTCACCGTGTCTAGCGGTGCAGGATGACCTTAACATGAGTTTTGGGGTATTTGTGTCATTAGAAAGCTTACTTACTTCCAAAAATCATCTCGAAAATGGACTAATAGGCATGTAGTAATCAGGCAGTAGAAAAAAATAATTGAAATATTCACCTAAAACCAGTGTTTAGTTTTGTCAACAGTTCAACTAGCGTTGCAGCTTCTGGTCTGACAGTCATGGGTGCCTTGGATGTCCGCTCAAGTTCCTAGAAGACAACATCGAAATTGTAGATAATGTAAAGTTACTTCTACATACCCAACAGTGCAAACGGACATGTCATACTCTGGTGTTGTGCACGATGATGGTATACCTTTATCTCAAGTGAGTGCTTCAGTTTAAGTCTTGCCATCTCTTGTTCCATCTTCTCGATGATACCCTGCGAGTCTGCATGCTCGAGAGCTGCCTATGAGGGAGGTATGACGATGTACATTAGGAATAAGAGACTCGATTACTGAAAAACGTATTGCCTCCTCAGCGGATGAGCGATTTCTGGGATGGAGGGGATAGAATCCCACCGTTATTTTCCCTACAATTTGAGGGGCACCGAATTAGGCTATAAACGATTCCTATTTTGCACTGAAATAAACACAAACTCAAACAAGAACTTCCTTCGTATTTAGCTTTGTCAGTTTGCCTTGATCCTCATCGTTATTCTATTTTATTTTTAATGTCCAATGATGTCAACATTTAAATAGTGGTATTTAAATTATCATCTGTAATCGCCTAAATTATGCCTTTAAAAACTAGTCGTTGACAATTAATACCTTTTCAAGGGCCTGCTCCATGTGGTTGACTTGTTTTTTATACTCATCTTTCTGTTCTAGGACCTTCCGCAGCTCGAATTCCAACTGGTCTCGGCGACCTGCCAGTTTTTCTGACGTTTCTGATAATTCACTGCTTTTCCTTTCATAATAACGCGCGTCCTAAAAACCAAACGAATACCACAAAAGCATTTGATTTACGGTCGTTTCGATACAGGTTGATTCAATACAAACTGAAGTCGATTCGATTCATTGATAAAGTCGTCATTTAATAAACGTAGAACGTCATTTCGATACAAACTAGTGAAGTCCTTCGCCAATCTCTTCTCGCAGCAAGGTATATCTCCGAAAAATTCAGTGCCGTCTTAACATCTTAAACTCCTTTTATTGGACTGGCAGACTGTTGAAAATATCCAATTACACCTTCACTGGTTGGTATCGAAATAACTGAAGTTGTATCGTATCGACTTGTATCGAAAAGGCGGACTGCAATCATTTAAAAGAGTGGCGCTTTCTGTATGGACATAATGTAAATTTAAACCGGTTGAAAGGCAAATTGAAACGCTATTTGAATGATGATTTTCTTCTCAATGTTGAAAATGTAGAGTCATTCAGAAGAAGGACAGAGGCCAAAACGATGAATGTATGGGTAGCTGAGAGGTAGCAAGATAAGGGAGCTTTGACTAGATCATGAACATTTTGCCGGATCAAATTTTCGAAAACTCGCTCTGCGGATTACAGAGAAACCGAAGACAGGTTGCCCTAGTTTTTTTTATTTTTTGAGCATGCTGCATAATTTTATGCGGGGGGTTAACCTTTGGCCCGTAAGACTGACTAGCAAATAATTTCTCCTCACAGTATCATCCCTGCATCACACATTAAGGTCACAAGAATGTAGGAAATGTTTATCAACTAAAAAATCTCTTGATTGTTAAACAAATTCTCCTTGTCAGCCGCTTGGGAAATGTATAGAGGACAGTAAGAATATGTATACTGATATTAGTGTAAAAGGTTAGGACCCGGCTCTACATCGTGATACACAAGCAAAGTGCAATTTACCTTGGAGACGTTATTGAGACTTTCTGTTAACCAGTGAATTCTACAAAACAAGAAGAAAAACAGTAGATTTGATTGTGTTTTTTTAGTCGAACTAACCAGAGAAAAAATAGAATGTTAAATAGAATCACACTGCGGATAACTAACTTGTTTTGTATAGCGTCAAGTTCTCCACGCTTGGCGGTTACCTCCTCTTGCATAGCATTTGCCACTCGTACAGCTTTTAAAACAAACAGAAGGCAAAACTTCTCAGTCTTTGAAGTAGGCGTACTTTAAATTAAAGAAACTGCTTCAACTTGTGTTGTATGACAATGCACGCAGAAAACTCGCTCCGCTTTTTCAACCAATCAGATGCAAAACGAAGACAATCACGACTTAGTCACCCGCGTTTTCCCGCGCTTTAGGCAGTTTGGCTGCTTTTACTTTGAGATCTCACTGGCTCTAAAGAGTACTTTCCTTTCCTCTGATCGGCCGTTGCGATTACTCGAAAAGCGCTCTCGGGGTAGTCTATGATAATCTTCTCCATCGGCCTTCCGGTGCCTTGTTTCTTCCATCTTTGTCCCTCGTCTTCCCCATTGTACTACTTATCAACGTTTTTCATTCCAAGGCAATCCTTACACATCGCAAAAAAGGGCAAACAAGTCGTGAAGCAGCGCCTTCAATATCAAACAACACACTTCGCACTCCTCACCCCGACTTATATTTCACGGTTATCACGTTAGTTGGAACCAAAATTTCCCGATCAGTGTCTGAGCAACTGGGTACCTACCTTCCCCCTACACTAACAACTAACAACGGACAGCAAGTGGGTCAGGGGAAGGGTAGGTTCGTAGTCCCCCGACACTGACATTGATCCAAATTTAACAAAGAATTGAACAAATTTTACTGGGTTTAAATCTATATGGTTATCACCCCACGCGGAATTTTAAGAAGAGACGAGAATTTCCATGGAGATTTTAGCTGTAAAGCAGCATTTAGTCCTCAAATAGTTACATAACAACTTAAAAGACGAACCGGATCACGGGTTATTTCGAAGAAACTTCCTATTACTTCGGAAATTCCTCAACACCGTCATCCGTTGTCCCAAGGTACAATGCGTTCAAACTGTGCTATGCAGCAATACTCACCTTTCCCACTCATATCACCTTTCGTTTTCAGAAGCTTTCGCGTTAAAGCTAAGTCCTGCTCAGAACCTTGGGAGGTAAACATAGGGAAAGCATACTTGTAGATATCACAGTCAATCAAGCATATTTCTCAGTTCTCTCTCTTTCATTCCATACATTAGTTATATGTTAAAATACAAGTCTGAATTGGTACTTTGTTACCCCTGTGTTCGTAAATTTAAGAGTTTAAGTCAAATGACTATCGGACCGACAAGCTTGAGCAGAGCTTACACAAATCTTTTCGTTCCTTTCATTCAAGCGGCAGAGGCATGGGCCATGCGAGGGCATGGGGCGAAAGGGAGCAAAAAAAGCGACGAGTGCGGAGGGGATGGGAGAAGGAGAAAGGGGGGGGGGGAAAACCCTGATATCGGGCCAAGAAATTTGACTGTAGGCCTTCATTATAAGTGTTGCAAGACACGCGTTTCTCCACAATGTAGGCGAAGAAACGAATATCACCTCTGAATCAAACATTGAGGTCATGCAAATGAAGGAAATGATCACCAATTATAGGTCTTGATTGTTAAACAAATTCTCCTTGCCGGCACCCTAGTAAATGTACAGAGAACAGTATGGAGAATTATGAATCTTGTACTAAAATCAAGGTATAAAGGGTTAAAGCTACTATTGTCACCTTTTAATCGAGATAACAATTTGGTGATCTCCTTCTCGCGCTCTCCATGTTGTCCTTCGATCAGTGAACTCAATGAACTGTTTTCCTCTTTCAACTTTGTCACTTCAAGTTGCCGCAATTTCAACTCCGCCATGATGTTACTTCGGTCCTCCATTAGAGCGTTTAACTCCTCTTGCTTAATATTCAAACTATTTGTTAAAGAGTTCCTTTCCTCTTCCAGTTCCTTGACACGTTTGTCCTTTGACCTCAATTTTTTTGCTAAGATTTCGCGATGACTCTTCATTTCTTCCACCTCACTAATTCTGTCCTCCAGCGTTCGAATCAGTTGCTCCCTCTCACGTTGTAGCGAGTCACCCGTTTGACTGTTTCTTTCAATAATTTCAGCAAGGTTTGTTCCTTGCACTTGAAAATTCTCTATGGTCCTCTCTCTTTCCTTGAGTTGAGTTTGAAGTTTACTAACACAGTTCTCCGCTTCGGAGAGATCCTTTGATTTTACCTCTAAAGTTCTACCCAATTCTTCAACTTCTCTACGCAGATTATCATTTTCGTCGTGTCTTTTTTCAAGTTCCGCAGCTAAACGAATTTTTTCCTCTCTCATAAGGTTCATTTCCTTAGTTTTCAAATCTAGATCATCTTTCAATTTAATATTATCTTCTCGCTGCTTCGATAAATCTAATTTTTTCCCTTCTAAATCAGCTGTCAAGGTGGAAATACCCTGATTGGATTTCGTAAGCTCGTTTAATATACCATCAAGGCGAGCGTTCGCCTTCTCTCTTTCTTGATTAATTGCTCTTTCGACTTCTCTTTCTCGAAGTTTAGCACTCTCTTCGCGAATGTCTTTCATTAGTTTATCTTTTTCACTTATATCAGTTCTTAAACTATTGGCTTCTTCACGGCACGTTTCCCGAAGAACCGCTAATTCTTTGCTGAGACCTTCGTTCTTCGCTTCTGTTTCTTGTCGAAGTTTCTCTGCAGCTTTAAGCTTCTCGTTCACAGAAATAACATTTGCTTGCTCTTGCGAAACACGCTCCAGTAAGTTCTGTTTCTCTTCTTTCACAACTTGAAGTTCAGCTGTCAATTCCCGAACAGTGGATTCCAATTCTTTGTTCTAAGGGGATGAAAATAATCCGCTTTAACGAACAAGAATAAAGTTCTTTTCTCGAAAGTTTTGAGGTTTGAAATTCTTTGTATTAAAGGTACCAGTACTGTGAAACAACGACAATTCCACGGCTGGGGCCTTCGCTTAATTTTGAGACGTTACTCAGGCTCATTTCCAGTTATTGATTTTACAAAGGATTCAAGGAGTGAACCAAATTATTCAAAACCCCTCACAATACGCAATCATTCGGCTCGACCTCCCGTTCGTGCTGAAGTTAGAGCGCATCGCAGTTTGTTGACTTATGCCAGTAATTTAATGCTGAAGTTTTATCATAATCTGATAAAAATTCAGTCATTTTCATGCATATAAAAACATTACGACCCCCGGTTGCAAAAGTCTCGTATTCATGAACTACATGATGTTTGGAGATTACTCTTATCCAAGATAGGTTCAAAAAGTACACAACAGTTGAAAGTATTGATATTAACAACATACATACCTTTGTTTCTAATTGCAGTGAGGTTTCGTGACTTGATTTTTTAGTCTTTTCCAGCTCAAGATGAAGGCATTTCGTTTTGTCATCCAGTGCAGAAACTTCTATTTGATGTTGCCCTCTGTAAAATTTAGCATAAGAACTCAGATTGAGCATAGACCTACGTGTATTAACACCACCCACATATAAAGAACCCGGTTTTCTGTTTCTTCAAGTAAAGAACAGGTACTAGAGTTACTCACCTGAGTTTATCTGTTTCTTCATGTAAACTGTCCAGCTCTCTCCTTAACTGGGCTGCTTTATTGGCTGAGGAATCTAACGCCTGTTTATGTTCCTCTTCCAGCTTCGATAGCCTAAAAAAGAGGTATTACTCTTATTTGAAATCATTACATTTGTGTGGGTTGTTTCCGCTCTTAACACCGTATAAGCTCGGGCTAACAAACTGTAGATCAGTATAGTTCATACAAGTGAATAGCGCTTTTGATACTAGCAAAGAGGAAATTACGAAGCAGACGAAGAAACACAAAATGGCATCCCGTTTCGACAACGGATACCTACCTTACAAAAACACCACACGAAGAAAGAGCACTCGGAAGTTTGAAAAATCTGCAGGAAATTTAAGCTGAAATTTTTTGGCTGCAAGAAATCGCTGGCCGTACTTTCTCACCTGGCTTTGTAATCCCTTCGCAGTTCATCTTGTGTAGCATCAATACGTTCTTTGCTGCTTCTCAGATCTGTCTCGACCTACGGAATGTATAGTGCACACAAACATTACATACTTATTGAACGAGATTGAGCGAGATACCACGATTTTTTAGCGCACAAAAGATCACAAACCCAAATTGATAATTGCAGTTGATCTTTGATATATAAAGACAATTCAAGTTTTCGTATGAGGTAACCCACTCACTAAGACAATCTTGCGTTCTTTTGTCTTGTCCTTTTATTAAGCGATTACAAAGTTTGTCAGTCACAAACATTATCAGAAAATCACTTTCTGCCATCTAAGGGAAGATTATTGAGATTGAGTGGAATAATTATGCTAAAGAACAATATCAGACGGCATTAAGCACGTGAAGAACAACAAGCATTTCTAGGCAGTTAATTGCAGTTTACAACACGTACGTGGTGGACTCTCGACTTACAAAAAGCGGGCCCATTAGAACAATGTCAGTATCTTAGCAACCTCGTACCTAGATGTACATGTACCATACCTCCAATCCATAATAAACCTTAAATGCGCCTTGATATCAGTCAACAGTTGTTAGGTTGAAGGAGGGGGGGTTGGGTAGATGCACAGTTACCCAGATATTGGCGTTGATTCAGCGATTAATTTTCACTAACATTGTTTAATACAATTGAGTAATTTTCTTTAGCGTTAAAAAAACCATGGTAGGTCAATAATCATACAGTACAATGGCGGATCTAGACCTTGAGCTAAGGAGGGGGAGCTGTTTTTTGTCGCTTGCTTCGCCAGCTTTTCATCCTTCTGCGATTCTTTTTTTTTTTTTAACCCAAAATAAGGAGCGCCTTGATCCGCCACTGCTGTAGCATAATGTTGCGTAAAATATGAGCGTACCATCTCCCTTACCCTTTCTAACTTTGACTGCAGCGTTTTCTTCTCGTTATCATCATCAAAGAGACACTTTTGAAGGATTTCTACTAAAGCATCCCCGATCTGGCCGATAGCCACGTTGTTCTCCAATGCACTGGTAACTAGTCCTGAGCGGAATCTTTTCTTTTCTTCCTCCAGTGATATTCGTTTCACTTTGTCCAAGAAAACTTTATGATCTGCCAGCTCGACTTCAAGCTGTCTTTTATCAGATTCCATCTTAGTTAAAGTCTGAAATATAAAGAAGCAAGTTTAATACAGTTGTTCTGGAGCAACGTAACTATATTGTTGATCTTGGTATTTTTTGGGGCGCAAAACGCTTTAGGACACAAACAGATACCAAACTGTCTTTACCGCAAAATTACTTTTTTTGAAAACATCTTATCGACTCCGTTGAATTTCAAACTTTGGCGCGAAAATTTGCTGAACGGTTGTTCAATCCTTTAAAATATCAAGCAGACAAGTGAGGAGAATAAAGAAAAAATATCAATGGGGGGGGGGGGGGGAAGCTCGTAGTATCCAAGTTTTTTTTTGAAAGAAAGTTCAGATGTCTGGCTACCAAACATATCATGTTTGCTCCTTATGAGAACAAGTTTCTCCGTTACTAGACCATGTATGTTTCGGAGAAAACGAAGGTATTTTAAGCATGTCCATCAAACTTCTATTCAAGGTAAAAAACAATCAAGGACAACTTCATTTGTTCTCAAAGTTCAGCGGGCCCTCTTGGTGCGAGTGCCTAGTAAAATTGTGTTTACGCACGAGGGCGCATGAGAGTAGAGAAGAAAATCCAATGAGATTTTTTCCGACAGAAACTATTTAAAAGTGATTCTTATGTACCTCATCCTTTGCATCAATAGCCTGCTGTTGTTTCCTCAGTCCAGCCTCCAATTGGTGAATCAACTGCAACTGACCCGAAGCCTCACTTTCCCTGTAATTACCGAAGACACAAGAATTACAAGTATACGGCAATTTTCGGTTGAGTGTCGAACGTAATCTGGGATTGCTTTGGTTTACCTAACTAATCTATGAAAGAAAACCTGTGCCATCCTCTCAGCCAATCAGACGTAAAACTAAAAACAATCGCAGCTTAGTCACTCGCGTTTTCCTTTGCTTTAATGTTAACCTTCGCTCTATGCTTTTTGACGTTCAATAAAAAACTGCTCTACAGTATAGGAGTGAAGATTCTGGGCTCACTTTCCCACAAGGGTACGAGGCACAGCGAGTATTGACACGAGAGACATTTGAGTAACAATTTTTGAATTTGACTTGAAATACGCTCCAAAGTTGTTGCATCCCATTCCTATCCCATCCCACCACAGTTTATCATCCTTCAAATATTTTGTAACGCACGTGAAAAAATGTTCACGAACAGCTTATCGTTTGCTGCGTGCGATGTTTTTTTTTTTAAGTGTTCTCTGGTTCGACTTTATTAAAAAACACATATTCCCCTTCCTACTGTAACGATCAGAAAACGCTCTCTCATCTTGAATTAAATTTATACGAAGAGTTGTCGTGGTGGACGTAAGGTTTGAAAATTGGGGAAAATCACTTGGGTTATATCGTCGGCCTTCGACGCTATCTTCTGTTTTAGCATATACACAAACATCGGCATTTATCATATCGCTCATTCGCTATGATTGGTCGATTTCGTGCGCTTTATTTTCCTGCATGGCTCACTAAATTCAAAAGTTGGTTTAAATTGATTATTTCCTCACAATTTGAATCCAAAGTTATGATAATCAATATCTTATTAACCTCGTTTTCTCGGTTCGTACTGAAAGTAATGGAACTTTTTTTTTGCTCAGTTAAAAAGAACAAAAAAAATTAGACAAGTCTGTAACTTACGGCCGAGAACTCCTTCAGTAAGAGTTGTGTACTATCAGATGTAAATAAAGTTACATTAAAGTTGATCTAACTTTCATTGATCCGAGAACATAGCTAAATTGCAAATTCTGAGCGACAACCTACACTGTTCATGTACATGAACTTACCTAAGTGCTAACACATGATCCCTTCCTGCAATAGTTTCCTTCAGTCGATTTTCAAGTTCAACAATCACCTCTCTGTAATATGTATCTTGTTTTGCGCAAAGCTCTGTGGTCTGTACAAAAAAAAAAAAAGTGCAAATAAAATCCCATAAGTAATATGGCACAGATTCAGCTATACAGGTCTAGATTAACCCAACCAACATTGCTACTCCTTTTGTAAAAAACAATTATTTGAAAGTTACACTGAAAGCACAAATAGTAAGAACAGGTTTTGTACCCTTTTTCAGAAACAAATTTCAAGGACTTTTCAAGGGCTCAGATTTCACCTTAAAGCCCTCTATTCCAAAAATTTCAAGATCAATTCTCCTCACAGTCTACACATATTTCCTATCATGTAAATTTTGAAACTTTACTGAGTAACTGTTAGCAGATTTCCAGGACTTTCCAGGACCTGTAGTCTTTTTCCAGGACTAAAAGATCCTGGAAAATGTTGAAATAAAATTCTAGGATTTTCAGGACCTGTAGGAACCCTGTAAGAAGCTTGGAGTAATAGATAGTAGAAAAGAGAAATATGAATTTCAAATAAGGAGTAAGTTGAAAATAGTTCTTTCAAGCTTTTACACCCAATGATCAGAATTCATTTTCTCCTGACTTTTTGATATTCACTCCCCCACCCCACCCCTTCCTAATTTTTGTACTTTCACTCACCCCTTGGTACAAAACCTACACATGTACATGGAAACTGTTTTGGCAAGCCTTAGGGTTAGAGGTATCTTTTGTGCTGCGATGCAAACTACACATAGCCTTTCGATTGCGGAAATGAATAACAACAAATCTACATGTAACTTTTATTTTTTTCAAAGGTTTAAAAGATTCAATATTTAATCAAAGGAAGTGGCTTTAATTGTACCATTCAAATGGGAGTAATTACCATTTTTAGCTTCTTTTTCAATTCATCGATCTGAGCACTTGATTGTCTGATACCAAACTCTGCTCCTATGTTTGGAATACCTGAAGGATACCCTACTGTACTGCCACCTAGCTCTCCTGTTCTTAAGGGTGCACCGTAAGTAGAACTGATGCTGGAACTATGAAAAAAAAAATATGCTGTTAGATGAGAAATAACAATTCATCAATTGATTAAAAACATTTCTTTATTAGATTAACTCCCATGAGTGACCAAGCCAGAATTTCTCCTTACAATATCAATACAATATCAACCAGAAAAGTGACGAGAATGAAAAAAAATATCAATTTGGGGATAATTGGTTGATCCAACACCAAATTCTCTGACCTAACATTATAAGCATTGTATGGTTGACAGTAAGGAGAATGACAAATTTAATCTGGGAGTTAAAGGGTTTTAAAGCAGGACAATTACATCTACTTAAACCCTTTAACTTCTGAGAGTGACTGGCTTCTAATTTATTCATACAATATCACCTTTGAATCAAATATAGAGATCATGACGAAAAAAAAGGGAAAGATGACAAATTCACAAAGCTCCTGTTTGTTGAAAAAATTATCCTTCTACCACAGGAAATGTAAAGAGAATGGCATGGAACACATGACCTCTAGCTCTGAGTCTTTTATTCTGTCAATTGACGTATTTTTATATCAGTAAACTCTTTAAAGGTTGTAGTACTTACTAATGAGTAGTAGGTAGAGGAGTTGCTGACACATTTGTTGGACGTGAAATTCTAGACAAAATCTCTCTTTCTCTGTGCTGTAAATGGAGTCATAAGATTATTAAATTTATTAAACTTATGAATGATTGATGCATGCAAAAGAAAGTCATGATCATGAAGTATTCAAAAATAATTTAGGAATTTCAACAGCGTTGCAAATCAGAGTGTGCCATAACATTTACAGTACTAAAATGCAGCCTAAAAAATTCAAAAATTTGTTTTAATCAGAATCTTCCCCCTTTGAAGCAAGAAATGTATGAAATATTTTACTAACCAGTTGCTTTCTCAGTCTGTTCTGTAAGTTGTGGAACCTTATGTTTTCTGCTTGGATTTATTTCCTGCACACTTTGTGCTAGGGCCATAAATTCGAGCATAAAAAATTGGTCCATAACTTACTGCATGGACCTCAAACTTGGTTTGTAAGAGGTATGCCTATTCAGTGCTCTACAATTCAATAATGATATCAATTGTATAAGGATGTGTCATAAGCTAAAACACATGCATCTCACAACAAGAATCGTGTTGCCTACAGTTTTTGCACACTAAACATGTTACATATAGGTACAGTTTATGGGATAAAAAGGTAATGAAGCATAACAGAAGATTGATTGGACTTGCAACCTTATTTTCTGCAAATAACAAAATTGTAAAAATACCTCCATCTTTGCAAGATCCACTCTAAGTTGATCAACCTCACTGGCCTTAGATATTAAGTGTCCATGAAGATCATTCATTTCACTTGACTGTAGACAAAAATTGTATTAAACCGTTGGCCAACATTGCTGGTCCTGTACTGATACATTTTAGCATCACAGGGGTTGGTTGGGGGAGAAAAATAAACTTCTGAGTGGCAGGAAGGTCAAAAGGCGGTTAGACCCCAACCACCACCACAAGCAGTTCTTCTAGTTCTCCAAATATCACAGGTTTTCAACTAAGTAATTTGCATGACAAAAAATCAGCCCCTGATTTATTAGCAAAACCCCTTTTTAAGATTATCTTACACTGATGATCAGACTACACAATCAGCTGTAACTTCAAGGTTTCAGACAACTTGACCCTCATGAGTGACTACATGTATCAAGTAACTCCTCCTTACAATTAAAATATTACCTTTGAATCAAACAGAGGAATATTGTGAGTAAACAAAATGATCCCTAACCAAAAAGCTCTTGGTTTTCAGACAAATTCTCTGTGTCAAGAAATGTATAGAGAACATCATGGAAAATATGTATACAGATGTTTGGATGCAAAGGGTTTAAAAAGAATCATGAACCTACAAAAAGTCTGTCAACTTGTCTTCCAACTTGATTTCTGATCATACTATCAACACCATCCTGTGGCCTGCTACTTTCAGCTCCACCTGGATTGGGTGTTCTTTGAGTATCTGATGACAATAAAAATACAAAATTGCATATGCAGGCTTCTTCAATCTTCAATACAGTGATTATGAAGCAGAAATCACAAATACTTTTAAAATGACTGTAAAAATCTGCACATTCAAATTCAAATTGTCAGCACTTTAAGAAGAGCATATAGAGACAGTATGGAGAATATGCATACTGATGTTAGGGTGTTAAGGGTTTGGAAAATGCTAATAGAAATGGCTCGCTGGGTTTGGAACAGCCTGAGATAATTATGCCGACTCCAATCCCTTCAACAAAATATCTCTTAAAAATGAAAGCGGTCTTTGCAGTAATGAACTCTAATGAAAAAAATTCAGGCCTGAACGGGATTTGAACCTATGACCTTTATCAGTGAAGCGCTCTACCAACTAAATGAATGTGGATATATGAAAATCATCTATGTGCAATGCTGATTAAGAAATAGTAATATGACAGCGATCTTCGCAGTAATGAACACTATTTACATGTGTAAGTAGTAAAAAGTTACGCAATTAAATAAAACGGAAGAAGAAAACTCCTGATCGCAAATCTTTGAGGCCGTACAGTTAATCTTCTGATGTACCTTGCAAGTAAACGGAGCCCCATCCGTTTCACTTACCAGTACCATTTCTCTGAGCAGGAGCAGCTGACAAAGGCAAATGAGCGTTCGTTTCTGTCGTCGCAGATTTCACTCCGGATTTTGGCGGTCGCATCAAAGGGGAAGGTATGTCTGGAATATCAGGGAGATCGGAGCTAAGCCGATGTAAGTAAACTGTGCAACTCTCCTTTCCGGTTTGACAATCCTTTTTCTCCTCATCGTCAGAACAGGACTCTGCTGTCTCTGCTGCCGAAGTGAATGGATCAGGTGAGGTTGGAGACGGTAAATCAGCCGTAATCGAAGACGCCATTGCATTTTAGTTCGTAAAAGAACGCAAAAAACAGTTGAAATGGTGAGAGCTTGGGCAGCTTGTCCAATAATGTCCACTGAATTTTAAAACCTACACCTGGAAAACTCTTCTTACAAACTTATTGTGTTATTCAAACACTCCGTCCGCCATTTTGTAACCGTCACTTTTGAATAGCGATGAGAGACTGGTAACCACAACACTGTAACTATGTTCCAGGTCTCCAGACATCTCGTTCCCAGTGACGGAAAATTTTGAACAGTATGGCGGAAGCTTAGAAACCAGGCTCAACTCAGTAGCCAAGCCTTTTCTTGCTTGCGTGACCTTTTTCGTCAGTAAACACAAGCTCAAATTTTTAAAGCAGCAAAGAGTAAAACGTTTTGAGACCGAAAGGTAAGTAAGTAAGTATTTTAGTGTTTTACTGTGTAATTTTACAACGTACAGTGAATTGTCAAATTAAAAACTCGAAAAGCTTGCAGCTAAAATTTAACTCTTTATTAATAACCTTATACTTTCTTGATCTAATATCTCAATTAGCGATAACACCAGAAATCATTTGCTTTTGTGGTATATACTATGTGTAGACCTAACTTGTTGAAGTACGTTGTCATGAAATAATGCACTCTGAGCAACAATTAGTCTGATTAAAAAAAACTGAGCCAATGTTTAAATTGTTCCCTGGACTGCTTGGACATCTGAGGCAACTGATAATGCATTTTGGGAGTGATAGAGATGCTTACTTCATGGTGGCTATGGCTGTACCTGTCCTTGAATTTGCCCTGTTGCTTGTAATAGATTTTCCATGCATTGCCTGTTACTTTTTTCAGGAAATTTTAGTGTGCAAGAAGAAAATTTTTTTACAGAAGAATCCTTTCCCTGTAACGTGTACAACTGTTGCTTACGTTTGCCATATTACTGATATTTTTATCATAACAGAATTTTCACAAAAATTATTTGACATTAAATTCTTTTACAAATACTGCAAGGTCATGCCTGCCCACCAACCCATCAAGGTGGTGTTGAAAACTGCAGTAAGGTCTACTGAATATAGTTAAGTACTGAATTTCACTCCATGACTCACAACTACAGAATATGGGGTTTTTTTATGATTGTGTACCAAACAAAAAAAATTGCTTTCTTGGCTCATTTGCATCAAGCCACCTAATATAATTCACAAAGATTATTTGATATTGGATTCTCATACAAATACTGTAAGGTCATGCCTGCCCACCAAGCCATCAAGGTGGTGTTGAAAACTGCAGTTAGGTCTATTGTATATAGTTAGATTACTGGGCCCAGTTATTCAAAAGCTGATTACCGCTAACCCAAGGTTAAAACTTTAATCTGGGTTTCTTTATTCCTTTACTCAAAAAGCCTTTTTGGGTTAATGTCATGTGTTCTTTTTAGAGCATCGAAGAGTCATATTTTAGACAATAAGTATTTGACCAAATTTTCTTTTAAAGCTATCAGATCTGAAATCAGATTTTACCCTAACCCTGGGTTATCTTAACCCAGCTTTGAACAACCCAGCCCTGAATTTCACTTTATGACTTACAATTACAGAATATGGGGCTTTTTTATGATTATGTACCAAACAAAAAAGAAAGCTTGCTTGGCTCATTTGGATCAAGCCACCTAATATAATGCAATCAATGTCTTGTTTTCCATATCCTGGGTCATTGCTCAGTTAGAATTGATATTTAAATCTTAAGTATAATCATTTAAATGTAACTGAATGTATTTCTTTTATTACTTTTCCACTGACTGCCAAACCAGCAAGCCTTGAGGCATTAAACAGTGAGGACTTTTAACAAGGCCCATTGTATACTTGTAGCTGCTTTGGGGGAGGGGAGTGGTAAAGTTTCAAATTTGTTTAAGAGTGTGTAACACAATAATAATAATGATAACAATGTTAATAATAATAATAATAATTATTCAATTTTTCCATCTTTATTGACTTAGAGTAATTAGTGAAACATACCAGAATAGCCTTTTTATTAATGCAAGGCCTTAGTGGTGCACAGTTATGATATAATTTTCTCTTGTGTGAGGCATCAGTCAATTTAGGAATTATCAAGTGTAAAATTTCAAGTCAATATGGTCCAGAAACTGCTCATTTTTGTTGAGGGTTGGGATGGGAGGGGTGGAGGGATCGAAATTATTAGGTTTTCGTACCGTTTTCACTCTTTGCACCCTGAGCACTCATACACATACACTTCAGATGGATGCTCAACACAACAGCGTCGAAAAATAATCAAGCAAATAACTAAGACATGCCAATCTTCCACGGTTAATATAAATTTACCACTAGAAACAGTGAAAAGGCCTTAAAGATTTTACTCGTAGCTTCTTTAAAGGTACAACTTCCTATGATGTTCTAACAAGATTATCAAGTTGTCAAATACGTATTTTAATATGATTGATACCAATTGCTTTAGTAAGTCGAAATGAGCTTAATGTCAAGAATTAATAAGCGGATTACTACACTTGTGACGAATTTTGTGGTCCATTAGAAAAAGTACTTGGTTCAATTACGCAGTTCACCGAGAGGTTAATGTTGTTTGCCTGCTGGGATTTTTTTAACGTTGAATACATTTTCAAGACCTGTACTCGATGAGGTGCACTTCTTGCGATTGTACTGCAATCCAGCGAGTCCTTCGGAAAAACATGTCACCGAGAGCAGAGCTTGTAAGACACTATTCAGAGGCAAGTATTTCCTAGGTTTGAAATTCCCTTTGGTTCCATTTGACCGTGAGTAGTTTTTAGAATTCACGAAGAAAGCGTATTTTAGCCAAAGGCAGAAGATTCATATTTGAACGGAGCGCAGCGAGATAAGGTAATATTCTTTCCCGCGAAAATCACAAAAAAAAATAGGGTTATTAGATAACTTCCCATTTGTTTTTTCTCGCGCAAGTAACAAAAATGTTCCCCTCCCTGTCCCCCTCCAATGGCACTTCAACCAGTCGGGGGAGGTGTAGAATTGTTAACAATTCATCAGAAGGCTTGGTTACCTAATTGAGCCCGGTGTCTAAGCTCCTTCAGAAAGTGATCTCAGCAAATACGAATCAGTCCCCGCAAAAACATTCAAGAGAAAAACCTATCTTGAAGGTCTGGATGGGGTTAACTGACAACTGACAAATGGCCAAAATTTTAGCTGACAACTGACAAATCGCTGAAAATCTAATTGACAACTGGCATTTGTAGTGGGCTTTTACTGACCGCTAACAAAAGACCGGATCGCCCTAAATATCCTAAAAACTGGATGTAAAATAGGGACAGTTGACTTATTTTGTCCAATAAAAGTACGTTTTTTATTACATACCAGTAAGAGTACGCAAGAGTGTCACATGTCGTTAATAATTACCGCATGGACCATCCATATCAAGGTAATGTCACATATTGGTCATATGATCTTTGATACCCAACTCGTCGACTTAAGCCATGGCTGTTAATGCTGGTATTTTAAAAGTTGTTGTAAGCTTTTATCGTATTGATTCGGAAACGGCACATAAGCGTCACAGAAGCTGCATTCCTATTAATAATGTAAACACTGTATTGGAGCTGAAAAAGCACCTTATTTTGTTCCTTGGTCTACAGGAGTTGTCCAGTAAATCTCCATGTCTAAGTAGCTGTAATGACAGTACCCGTTCTACGAAAACAATTGTACACCCATCTGCAAACTTTAGCCGTTGAATTCGGAAACTCGAAGCTTGTCCAGATTCGCCCTCCTTTATAAAAGCCAACTTCAATCTGCGCTGCAAGTGAAGACATTCTGTTGTGTGCAGACGATGCCCAGAGAGGAATTATACAAGTGACATTACACTGCAATGGAGTTGGCATTGCTGGTACCGGACTCAAACTCGTGACCTACCCGACTAGCATTTCGAATGTCATATCTAAGGAAGTTCTTTCACAAAGAGCTTACTTTGCAGCATTCGATCTAGACGGTGAACTTTATGTTTGCAAGCCTATAAGCTTAGAAGTTGACCCACTTCTAAAGAACAACTCGGAGTCTTGTATAGGAATCAAAAGACCTTGTGAATTTGAAGACGGGATGGCGTTCACTGACTCAGGAGATCGAGTAAATGTTCTGAGTAAAACGTTAAAACCTTGATGGGCTCTGGTTATGAAGGAGCAAGTGATGGAACGGATGAAACGTGTCCTTTTGCGCAAGTTCATGGCATCTGTTCTATGGAGAAGATTCTTTTCGTATCGGAAGTTGCTACAGGTTGCATTAAACTATTATCGGGACTCAGTGGTACTGTGTCGTTCTTACAAGTCCATGGAAGTATCTGTAACAGTTTTGTTATCAGAGCCCAAAGTATAGAGAAAGCACACATCTCTTCAAGATGCCGTAGACAAAGTATGTTATGTAAATGACAATATCACAATGCGACCTCTACCATTGGAAGAGGTCAACTCGAGACTGAAAGTGCTATGAGAGAATTGTGGAGAAGTATCGTCCGTTGAGGCAAAGAACAGTTCGGGCAAAACTATCAAGGACAAGGCAGGGGCTTTACCACCGGCCGTTTAAACGAAGAAACAAGATTCCACCAAAGTGGACTTGTTAACGGGACTGGGGAACGATTTTAACCTGGAGATCAACCAATAGGGCTCTGCAGCGACAAAGGAGCCGTTCAAGCTACTTCAGAAGGTGGGAATGTGACAGATGTCATATTTTTTAACGACTGTATCGCTGAAGGTGCGAACATCAGCATACTCAGAAAACGACTTCTCTGACCGAGAGGATGATTATGTTACCCCAATTACGGTTTCTAGATCCGTGCGGCCGATTTGCGCCCATTTCCGCTTGGATCTTTAAGGTACGCTTACGGTAGATATCTCTAATAGCCTTACTAAAAAGTAGACTAAAGAACATTCCATTCCGATCATTTCACCAGAGCCAATCGCAACCGACACATTGTAAAAAGGAAACATAAAACCAATATATTGTGCTAGAGGACTTTTCTCAAGTTTTGTTCTTTCTTACGATCTTCTTTCCA